CTCTGGGAGTGGGCTTGGGGGGATTTTCCTCGGATCTGCTCCTGGAGACATCCCACGCGGAGCCATACTGAGGGACACTGAGGGTCTGAGCCTGCAGAATCCCTCGCCCTGTTTCCTCCGTGGTGCAGACGTGGAGGTCACACAGCTTCTGAGCACAGCCCTTGAGTCATCACACCGCTTCTGTGACGTGGACACACATGGATAGCAGAGGTCGGGAAGGACACGAGAACATGTACACCATACAGGCACACACCAGCCAGTGGAGGAGGGCCAGGATGAGGTAGGAGACAGCTGGCCCGTGGGGACTTACTTTTTTTTAAAAGGTGGGCGCTCAGCAGGTGCCCCAGAGTGCAGGTGCTTCTGCCAGAGTGCAGGCTGGCATGGGCCGGGACGGAGGCTTTCTCGGGGTCTAGCTCAGCCCACAGGGAGATGGCAGTTAAGACCCAGGCCTGCCAGCCAGAGCGGCTCACCACATACCAGCTGTGTGATCTTGGGGAAGGCGTGCGCTTCAGTTTCTTGTCCGTAAGATGGGGCCCTAAAACCTACCTTGCTGAGTTGTTCCGAGGAGCGTGTGGGACAATACCGCCATTTGATTTTTAAACTTGGAATATCCAGACACGTGACTAATGCTTGATGCCCACCAGTGATCCTCTTCGGAGGATCCTCGGGCCGCAGCCACGGAGGGCTCGACCAGCCTGCAGAGCGTGGGGAACGTCTCAGAGCACGGTGCCACCAGGCCGGGTGTGAGCCTCCGCCAACCCATGACTCCCTCTGCCAGTGGCTTCCACGTGTGTCCGTCCCTCTCTCCTACCAGCAGCCCCCGGCCTCGACCCGCTCCCTCCTCAGGCACCTCGGCCAGCCTCTGGGTAGGGGCCGAGCACAGACGGCTGGGGTTGGCGGGGCCTTGCTGGGAAGGGATGGAAGGTGACCACGTGTGGGAAGCCACACCTCCCACAAGGAAGGCCACGATGCTCACATCACGGCTGTGCTGGACTGGACGCCTCCCCTCCAGCCACCACCTTTTAAAAAAATGAGGGTGTCTCTTCTCGCTAGATGTCTCCATGGTGGTAATTTTGCAGAAGTAGTCATTCAGAGCTGCCCTGCTGTCCTTCTCCAATAGCTGTTTCGTGATGAATTCACAGCACGCGCTTGCTCCACGCCTCCCTAAACAGAGAGCGCATCCGTGCAAACATGTAAAAGAGCGCTCGGAGCATCGACTTGCCTGACAGTCCACAAATCGTAGCCTGCCATCTTGCAATTGGATGATTGAAGCCAAGCGCCTGTGGTGTGCACAGGCTGACGGTTCTCATTCTCAATTGCTGCGGAAACTCAGAAACTCAGTATCCAGAAATTCAGGAAACTCTAACCCGGCTTTTGGAAAAGCTGTGGGGGGAGGTAAGTCTAGGTGGACATCTCTAGGGTCTCAGATCCCACACCCCAAGGGCGGATCAGAAGTCAGAGCAAGGCTGGGCACAGTGACTCACGTCTGTGATCCCAGCATTTTGGGAGGCTAAGGCAGGAGGATCACTTGAGGCCAGGAGTTCAAGATTAGCCTGGGCAACATAGAGAGACCTTATCTCTACAAAAAAAGTTAAAAATTTGCTAGGTGTGGTGGCACACGCCTATAGTCCCAGCTCCTGGGGAGGCTGAGGCAGAAGGATCGTTTGAGTCCAGGAAGTTGAGACTGCGATGAACCGCAGTCATGCCACTGCACTCCAGCCTGGGTGACAGAGCAAGCCCTTGTCTCTTAAAAACAAAAAAAGAAACCAAAGCAAGATAGAAAATGATATGGAGGAGAAATCAGCAGTCTGCCATTTTCTGATCAGATGGTTCGTTCTTAGAGCACTGTTATAGAGCATTGCTGCCAGGCGAGGAATACATTTCATAATTTCAGAGTAATTGTTGAAGCCCACCACATGCCAGACCTTGGACAAGATTGGCAGGCCTTGCGTGTCTCAGAGCCTGGCTTTGAGTGGAAGAGACACTAAGTCAAACAGCCGATGAGACCATTTCAGAGACAAAAGGAAGTACAACAGGACAACAGGATGGAGGGGCTGGTGGGCGGGTTGCCCTAGAGGGTGGCCAGGAAAGGTTCCTGAGATGAGAAGGTGCACGTAGGCCTCAGGCATCTGGGGCAGAGCATCACGGGCAAGCGCACAGTCCCAAGACGGAGCAGCGGGCAGACCGCTGTGTTGGGTGGAAGGACCAGGGGCTTCCAGGAGCCAGAGGGGTCGGCCAGGGCCCCTGGAGGGGGGTGGGATGTGTCGTCAATGTTGTAGGAAGTCGCCAGGCAGCTTTAAGCAGGAAGCCACCGTGATCTGATTCCAGTTGTTCAAAAACAGACTGGCTGCAGTAGAAACTGAAGGGTGTGTGAGGGGTGGGGGATAGTCCAGTGGGAGGGACCGCAGGGTCTGGGCTGAGAGGACATTCAGGGAGTATTTGGAGATGGAGAGAGATGCGCTGGTCAGCGGGTATGAGGGAGAAGGCGAGAGGGATCCAGGGACGGCTGGGTTTTTGGCGACTGTGCTGGAATGGTGGGAGCATTTTTAAGATGAGACGAGACTGGGCTTGGGGAGTGATTGAAGAACTCCGCTGGGGCATTTCAAGGTGGAGACAGCTGTTTATGATAGCCAGGTACGGAGGTCATGCAGTCACTCGAGGTCAGGGCTGGAGGTGAACTTCACTGGGGGTCACCAACACGAGGGTGGCCTATATGTGCCCACTAGGGAGTGAGCACAGGTCCCCCAACATTGAGCCCCGGGCAGCCCAGCCATTCAAGGCCCCACTGAAGGAGAAGGCCCAGCACAGTGGCCTGGACAGGTGGGCCAGCGAGGCAGGAGGAGGACCGGGCAGATGCAGAGCCACGGAAGCCTGTGGAAGGAGACCCGCCCCGGGGGAGGTGTGGCCGGCTGCACAGACACTGCTGAGCTGCCGCACTGCCCGAGGACTGAGAATGGCCCCCGGACTCGGCCATCCACCCAGCCCTGTCATTGACTGTCCAAACCAGGACCCTTCAGGGTAAAAGGAAGGCCCGATTAGTGATGACGCCAGACAGACCCACAAGGGTGGCCTGTCACCAGCTATCAGTGTCCATGGCAAGATGGATTCCCCGTAGAGGTAGAGGCAGAAGCCCAAGGGGAGTGGTGGGGGGTGGGAAGGAGGGGCCACAGTGACAGGGAGGCTCAGAGTTTCCGGGAAAGGGTGACAGACAGGTTCCTGCGGTGGAATATTCCTCAGCGATAGAAAGGAGAAAAGCTGTTGATTTACACAACACAGATGAGTCTCCAGCAGGTATGCGGAGTGACAGGATCCAGGCAAGAGAGAGAGAGTGAGCATGAGTTCTTAGTATAAAAATTCCAGAAAAGGCAAACACTGTCTGCGGGGGCAAGCAGTGGGTGGCTGCCTGGGTCGGAGACAGGAGGTAGGGGAGGGAGGGACGGAAGGATTCCCAAGGCTGGGAAGTGACGGGCATGTTCATCTCCAGAGCGTGGAGAGGGCTTCAGGGTGTGTACACATGTTAGAACATACCCAAGCCATGCTCTTTATGTGTGCACAGCATATCGGATGGGTATGTATGGTATTTCCTGATAAAGCTGGAAAAAGGGCTTTACTGGGATGTGGAGGAGACATGGGGGTGGTCGTAGGAGGAGGCATGACTTTATCTCCAGCTCCAGAGGAAGCTCATCATCCCCTGCAGAACACGGGCCACAGGACAGATGTGTTGGGGGCCAAGGAGACAGGGAGGTGGGACGGGACCCTTCTGTGAAGGCTCCTGCGTGTCATCCCGAGGGACCTGGATTCTCCAGCTCCCGGCATCCTCTGAGAACTGTTACGAGTGAGATTCCCTGGAGAGCGTCTTTGAGGCAGTGGCCCCCACAATGCCTCCCCTCGGCTCCCCTGGACTGCAGCTGCCACGGAAGTGGGATGTCCCAGTGTGCTGACAGGGCCTGCCTTGGGCTGGCCAGGCTTTCCACCTGCGAGCGACTCCGCTGGCGCGCATGTGGGAGCTAGTGTTCAAGGGCAGCCTTCGGCAAGCCGCGGGTAGGTACCCAGTCTTCAGAGAGACATCTGTGAGATGTACTCTGCGGTTCCTCAGAGGGCCCCATGGGAAGGAGCCCAGTTGGCCAAGGAAGTGGCCATCTCAAAAAAAAAATGTTTTTTGGCTGGGTGCAGTGGTGCACACCTGTAATCCTAGCACTTTGGGAAGCCAAGATGGGAGGATTGCTTGAGGCCAGGAGTTGGAGACTAGCCTGGCAACATAGCAAGACCTTGTCTCAGCAAAAAAGAAAAAACTTAACCAGAGGCTGAGGCAAGATTGCCTGAATCCAGGAGATCAAGGCTGTGGTGGCCATGATCCTGCCACTGCACTCTAGTCCAACAGAGTAGGCTGGTAGGTAGAATAGGTCACAGAGTGAGACTCCGACTCAAAAATATTTTTTATCCTGCCCTATCTGGTTTTCCCACTTTTTAAGTGACTTGCAGCCAAGAGTTTGCCTCAGGTTGTGCTTTCAGGGTGCCCAAACTGTGACACCCACGGAGCCTACCTGGGGAGTCTGGGCTTTATATACATCCCAGTGCTTCTAATATACACCGCCCCGGGGACCATACTTTGAAGAAAGCCACTCTAGGCAGTGAGAAAACACAAAGGACCTCACAAAGGGAGTGACTGGGCAGACCTGCTCTGGTAGAAAATTAACTCTGGTGGCCATGTGAAGTGAGGCTAAAGTCGCAAGAGGTGGGAAGCAGGGAGACCAATTAGCAGGCCATTACAGACATCCCCATGGGAGCAGGCTGCGAGGAAGGCCGCTATGGAGGCATCTTTTGGTGAAAGTCCTCTGAATTATAGTGTGTAACGGTTGGCACAGAAGTGAGACCAGGCCTTGTGTAACACTTGGGTGCTGTAGCCTTGTGAAGCTCATGTTTCTAGCATTTCACGGCTCTCTTTTTGGGGTCTCTTTGGCTTCTACGCATCTTCATTTTGTTAAATTTTGTGGTTTCAGGATCTTGACATTGGTGCCAAGAACGTGAAGCTGTATGTCAACAAAAACCTCATCTTTGACGGCCAATTAGACCAAGGAGGTGGAGAGGCCTTGGCTGGCCAGAGCATCCTGGTGGGCCAGAAGAGTGAGGAGAGTGGGGGAGCAGAGCACACCATAAGCTCAGGGGGGTGCGAAGGTGTCCGCAGGACGGCTGGCACAGAGAGGGACGTGGGGCCGGGTCTCAGCCACTTGCAGCCAGCTGGTGCATCTGTGCACGGGAAGCTGTCTTCACAAGATGTATCTGGTGAAAGGAAGAATTCTACTAACTGCATGAAGGACAGTCTGTCCCAGTTAGAGGAAGATCTGAGATTGCTGGCAGCCCCCGCCTCGGTGGGTGACTTGCCTGGCACCCCTCCCGCCTCCCCACCTGGGAAGTGCCCTCCTCCTGAGGAGGCACCCTCTCTGCTCCAACAGCTGGAAAACCTCGTGGGCAGAAAAATCTCCGAGCCACCTGGGAAAACTCCATCCTGGCTGCAGCCTTCTCCCATGGGGAAAGATAGACAGCAGGGAGGCAGGAAGCCCAAACCCCTCTGGCTTAGTCCCGAGAAGTCACAGGCCTGGAAAGGCAGGTCCCTGTCGGACGACGTCACCAGTGAGGGTCCCGGAGAGACGGTGGCAGGGGAGAAAGGCCCCAGGCATGAGCAAGGGCAGGTGACCCGCCGGAATGTCATCGCCAGTGAGCGACCCCAGAGGGTAACCCAGGTCTGCAGTGATGACGCAGACATCTTTGACCAGCCCCCCAGCAGGGAGCGCCCTGCTAGTGGGAGGAGGGGCTCAAAGAAGGATGCTCCCAGCAGCAGCCATGCTGACAACCAGCTAGCCAGCAGAGGTAAGCAGTCTCACTCAGACACCATCGTCCCAGAACATGTTTCATGCTAAACCCGTAGATATATTTGTTGTTGCCACCAAGATACGTCCCTTTGCCCATTTTCTGGCAGCATAGGGCTTCTCCAGTCTAGACTTTGTTCTTCCGCTTTTGATGGCCACATTGTTCTCTAGTGACTAACTTGATCTTTAACCTCATGTGGGAAACATTACACAAGGGTTATGATAAAGTACAACTGACATTTGCCTGGGTGCGGGAAGTAGCATGGGGAGCGGTGAGGACTTTGGGAAACTGGAACGCCCAATCCACCTGAAGCAGGTAGCTGCTTCTCCACTCAGGCTTTTTGTTGGCATTTAAGAATACAAGGCCAGGGTTCCAGACCTCCCCTTTCCATTTTTCTTTTTGTTGTTGTTGTTGTTGAGTTGGGTGTCTTACTTGTTGCCCAGGCTGGAGTACAGTGTCACAGTCACGGCTCACTGTGGCCTTGACCTTCTGGGCTCAGGCAATCCTTCTGCCTCAGCCTCTTTGAGTAGCTGGGACTACAGGTGTGCACTGCCACATCTGGCTAAGTTTTTAATTTTTGTAGAGACAAGGTCTCACTATGTTGCCCAGGCTGACCTTGATTTCCTGGGTTCAAGTGATCCTCCTGCCTCAGCCTCCTAAGAAGCTGGGACTACAGGTATGCACCACCATACCCAGCTAAGTTGTTGGTCTTTTTTTTTTTTGTAGAGATAGGGTTTCACTATGTTGTCCAGGCTGGTCTTGAACTCCTGGGCTCAAGCAATCCTCCACCTTGGCCTCCCAAACTGCTAAGATTATAGGCATGAGTCACTGCACCCAGCCTCTTTCCTTTGTTAAAGAGAAGCCAGAAATGTAGAATAGTCTTATTTTTTGACATTGGCAACTGATTGAGATTATTTTTAAACCACTATGTGTGTTAAAAAAAAAAACCAGCCACATCTGTTGGCAGGCCTCACTGTGAGAGCTTTGTGAACTTTGCAGTAGATTATCTCCAAGGGCGTTCCCGATTCTAAAAGGAGGATCTAGAAGGGCAGGGATTCTAAATATTTGCACTCAGATTTGGCTCCTGGGAAGGAGTGCAGCATATCAGCTAGGAGTCAGACCACATGAATTCAGACTCCACTGCTTGCAGATCTGGGCCCTGCAGCCAGGCTCCCCGCACCCAACCTCAGCCTCACCTGTGAGATGTTTGTTTTGCCCGCCCTGCCTTACTTCCCCACTCCTTCTGGGGATCACCGGCAAGATGCACGTCGAGTCTTGTCTCTCCAGGGCTGCTACATCCCGCCTCCTCCTCCCTGCGGGTCCTCTTGCACTCAGGCTCCTTGTGGCACCAGCTTCTCTGCCCTGTTCACATGGCAGAAGATGGCCTTGCCACCCTGGAGTGACCATGACCCAGCTCTTGTTCTGCAACCAATTCCAGAGTCTCGGGCAAGAAGCTGATAGGTCCGCTTGGGTCAGGTCCACCCCTTGTCCATTCAGTGAAAGCTAAAGGCCGACCCTGCATAAACGCGGCTCTGTTGTGCCTCTCTGCACTTTCCCCATGGCGTGTTCTGGAAGGAGCATCTCTACGGCCTGTGGGGAGGCAGCTGATTGGGTAAACTCACCTCTGGAGCCCCATTGTGCCCCTTTGTGCGTCAACCCAGAGATATTGGAGTCTTTGGTCCTGTCCCTCGTAGTTGGTGTCCCTCCCAGACTGTGCTGACTGCAGGGTGAAGCAGCCGCCTCCTGCTGTCCGCTCAGATTGTGGACGGAAGTGCCGACAGTGGCAGGACAAAGCACTGGTCCCAGAAGCTCCTCGACGCTCACAGAGGGGCGATAATGTGTCCTCCTGCAGAGAGACACGTGAGCTGCAGCCACTATCACAGCCAGAGGTCCTGGAGTCAGGCTGTACCACTCTGCCTATAAACCCATGTATACAGTTGGGGGTGAACAGGTTAAAAAACCTGTCTCTCACACCCGGGTAGAGAAACGCAGGCTGAGGCCCTGACGCGTGACGCCTGTGCTGTCTCCTTGGAGCACTGTAGACCAACCCGGGCCGATCCCCATGGTATTGCTCCTGCCAGATGCTAAGCCTCATGCCTGGGAGGAGAGAAAGAAGACACTTCTGGAGCCTTTGTAAATGGCAGAAGAGAAAGGGGAGGGAGGAGACCGGGTACAGGAGGATGGGCAGGTCCTGGGGGAATCCCTGAGCCACCAAGCCTGATGCCAGGGTGCTCAGTGGTGGTGCCCACCACCTGCCCTTCATCGGCATTTCCATGCACCAAGACTGTTCTGGGCAAGGGGACACATCGGAGCAAGACTGAGGTGGCAGAGAAGCCTCTCCAATGGGAGGGTGACAAGAAACACCAGCTAAGTGGGCATCTGGAGGAAGTACATTCCTGGCAGATGGCACAGCCAGGGCTCTGAGGCTAGGAGAGGCTGCGGTGCCCATGGCAGGAGGGCCAGCATGGCTGCAGAGGAGCTGGGAGGTAGAAGGGTGTGGTGTCCCTGGCAGGAGGGCCAGCATGGGTACAGAGGAGATGGGGAGTGAGGGGGGAGGTGCAGGAGCCTGCCGGTGCCACAGTCAGTCCTGTGGGCAGGGGGAGAGTCAGTCAGGCTGTCTTGATTCTCACTAGTGCAGGGGAAATAGTGCCAACTCCGTTTTAGGATCAGTGGCAAATTCCGTCTTAGTCACGTGGAGATTGAAGTGACAGAGCAGACACTGGACTCCCCAGAGGCCATGGGCACTGAATGACGGTGCCGGCAGGAGATGGCAGCACCTGGCAAGTGAAGTGGAGTAGTGGCTGCTGGGAGCCAGGAGTAGAATGAGGCCCAGGAGGACTGCAGTGTCAGGGAGGACCATCCTGCACTTTGGTCCAGCCCCAGACTGAGGGTGCCGGAGAGTGGCTCTGGGTGGTGGAGAGACAAGCGCTGCCAGCAGGAGGCAGGGAGCCCGGGTGGTATGGTGCCTCCTAAGCTGGTGGAGGGACCAATGTCAGGTGGAAAGGGTTGGCCTGGGATGACAAGCATGGACTGAGGACTGAGAAAAGACTAGGAGCCATTGCTTACCTGGGGACACCTGTTTCAAGGGAAGGGTATGGGGATTGTAGGAGTCTTACGGATGCGAAAGACAGAAAGCCCCCGGGGCTCTGACTTCAGGCATGACTGGATCCAGGAGCTAAAGGGTGTGATCAGGACCCTCCTTCTGTTGGCTTCATTCTCAGGCTGAGTCCTCCACGGTGTCGCCAAATGGCCCTTGGCAACTCCACGCCTACATCTTAGCAGCTTGGAATTGCCAGTTTAAGGAGAGCCTTGGAAGGATGCTGTCTGTGTTGACCCAGTCTAGAAGGCCTGAAGCTGGCAGGATCCCCAAACCAGTATTGTTTCCAGGAGAAGGGGAAGCCAAGTCTGGGTGGGCAGAACAGTCCCAACAGAAAGAGGCTTGAGAGGCAGGGAGCTGAGAGGCAGCGGTGGGAGGTGGCGTCAGAGCCCAGGGGGAGAAAACAGGACAGCGTTCGGCGTGAGCCACGGGAGCAAGTCGGCAGCCTCCTCTTTCTGTTTTCTCTTTAGGTAGGAGAGATTTATGTGAGTCTGCAGGCAGAGTGCGGGAAGGTACCAGTAGGAAGGAGTGATTGAAGATTCTGGAGAGGAGATAATTGATCGCGCCGGGCCCCCTAGGAGACAGGCAGAGAATGGAGTGCAGGGCATGGTGCAATATGAAAGGAGAAAAAACAGTGTCAGTGCCGTCAGCGACTGTTTTTCCAGAGTGACACCTTAGATGGAGGTTTGCTGTGGAGTGGCAGTGAGGACTCTTTTTTTTTTGAGTTGGGGTCTCACTCTGTCACCCAGGAAGAAGTGCAGTGGCACAATCATGGCTCACTGCAGTCTCGAACCCCCGGGCTTAAGTGATCCTTTTGCCTCAGCCTCCTGAGTAGCTGGGACTAAAGGCATGGGCCACCATGCCCAGTTAACTTTTTGAGTTTTGTAGCAACAAGGTCTCACTATGTTGCCTGGGCTGGTCTCGAACTCCTGGACTCAAGCAGTCTGCTGCCTCAGCCTCCCAAAGTGCTGGGATTACAGGTGTGAACCACCACACTGGGCCACTTCCCTGTTGTGTGAGGAAGAGAGATACCTCCAGGGCCATCCCGTGAGGACCGCACCCATGTTCCCCACATGCACGGACACAGGTTCTGCCACATGTACGAGGAGATTCCGGACCTTATGGCATGTCTGGCTTATTGAGGTTTCAGTAGCATTTTTTCTTGATTATCAAAGTTATGCGTGTAGGAAACGTGGAAGATAAAGTAACAAAGAAAAAAAAAAGTCCTTCCTACTCCCCACCCAGAAATCAGGAACATCCCTGTTAACACACTGGTGCATGTCACCAATACTAGGATATGCTGCATCGAAAATTGTGTGTCTGACTTTATTCCACTCAACATTCTTTTATGAGCCTTTTACCTGCCATTTCATTGTCTTTGAAGACACCGTGAGAGTCATGTGACTGCCAGTCTTGGGTGCAGCCCCTCAAGCTGCTGACTCAGGCGCTCTGGGCGGCCGCGTTGCCCAGTCATAGGAGTTTCTGAAGTGGGGAACGACCCCTGGCAAAGCTTCTGACACAGCCAGACAGTCTTCCCTTGATTTACATGGCAGTTGCATTCTTGGAAAAGGCAAGGTCTATTAAAAATTACTTTGTTTTTATAAGCAACCGAGTTCTAACTTGGGTACCCATAAACCATTTTTACCACCCTGAGTGTCAGCAGGACAGTTCCCAGCTGTGTGGGAAAGGAGCCAGGCTCTGTGCCAGGACCCCTTGCAGTGCAGGAAGGTGACATTCCCAGCCCCCAAGTGCCAGGCCGGCCCCTCAGGCAATGAGGTAGCCAGGAGCCAGTCCCCCGGTTTCTAGTTGGCTCCCTTGGAGGTGGCCCAGCCTGGTTGGGAGCTCCTGGGGTAGGCAGTTTCAGGGTGGCCACTTCCAGGCGTGCCGCTAACAGGGAGTCCCCCTCTGGTGTCCTTTCTTCCAGAAGACGCCTGGCCCGCCCACATGCTGCCATGGGTGCAGTGGCGCAGTGAGCAGGAACACACGCTGCACGAGTCATGGAGCTCCCTCAGCGCCTTCGACCGCTCCCACCGGGGTCGCATCTCCAGCATGGAGCTCCAGGGAGACATCCTGGATGAGTTTCTGCAGCAGCAGAGGAATAGCCGGCATGGCGACCAACTGCCCCCCAGGAAGGAGGAGAAGCCCAGGCTGTCAGCGGGGCAGGATGGCTGCTCTGCAGAGACAGACCACACGAGTGCCTTCACAATCCCTGTCTTGCCTTATGGACAGCGCCTGGTCGTTGACATCAAGTCCACGTGGGGGGACAGGCACTACGTGGGCCTCAACGGCATAGAAATATTCAGTTCCAAGGGAGAGCCAGTGCAGATTGCAGACATTAAGGCAGACCCCCCTGACATCAACATCTTGCCGGCCTATGGGAAAGACCCCCGGGTGGTCACCAACCTCATCGATGGGGTGAACAGGACCCAGGATGACATGCACGTCTGGCTGGCCCCCTTCACACCGGGAAGGTCGCACTCCATCTCCATCAACTTCACACACCCTTGCCACGTGGCCCTGATCCGGATCTGGAATTACAATAAATCACGGATACATTCCTTCCGTGGCGTGAAGGACATCAAAATGTGGCTGGATACCCAGTGCATCTTTGAAGGAGAGATCGCCAAGGCCTCAGGAACACTGACAGGAGGTAGGGGGACCGTAAGGATGTTCTCAGAGCCCCTGTGTGCTCCTCGCTGAGGCTCTGTGGGGAGAAGCCCACTGGCCAGCCAGCAACAGCTCGGTCTCCTGCTCACAGACCTGTCCACTCCTCACCCCGTGCAGTATGGGGTGCTCGAGTGGCTGGTCTAAGCTCCTCCCTCAAGCACCTGAATCTGGAAGGGGATTCTTCAGCAAGTGACTTATTGAGGGAGTGCTTTTAGGGGACACCTGGGTGCCCGGGCAAGGGTATAGTTTTCCTAGGGAAGCCCAGCCTCGGCCGGTCCTGAGGGAGCTCGGAGTCAAGAAGTGCAGGGTCTTTCTGCCTTCAGGGGCCCCACAGGCCTGGCAATCATAAAGCCCAGCTCCCCACATCGGGGCGTAGCTCCCCCCTTCCAGGCAAGGTGTCCCATGGAAAGGAAGAGCAGGGGTGGGGCGGGGCACCAGTAGCGCCCGCTGCAGGGACTCACCCACGCAAATGAAACGCTACTCGTGATGCCAGATCACAGAGATGCTCACCGACCGGGTCCCTTCCTTAGATCTCCGTGACTCCCACAGTGCATGGGCTCCATTTGCAGGTATGTGAAGGATAGGAGTCTCACTTACATAAGTCAGTAACAGATCAGTTACACAACAGCACAAGAGTGACGGGTTTAGCTTCTTGACCTACATTCACTGGGACTCGCGCTGAGTTGACCCTTCTGTCCTCTCGGTCACCTGACAGCCCCAGAGCACTTTGGAGATACGATCTTGTTCACGACCGACGATGACATTCTCGAGGCCATCTTCTGTTCCGACGAGACGTTCGACGTGGACACGGAGAGCCCGGGTGGCCTGCAGCAGGAGGAGGCGCCGGGGAGGCCCAGCACAGCTGACGGCCAGGGCGAGGAGCGGCCCTTCACCCAGGCGGGCCTGTGGACTGGGGACCGGGTAGGCCAGGGGCCGGGCACCTCCGGGAGGGTTTCTTCCCCAGCTCAGAGAAGGGCAGGGAGAATTAAGATGGATATCCTTTAAGCTGCTGGTGCTACTGTTTTGACATTTCCCATTTTTCTACTTTGGTTTTTTGTTTTGGTCCTGTATGTCATATTTCATTCTCTAATTATTTTTTATTTTTATTTTTTACCGGAGTAAAGAAAGTATTCAAATTTTAATCAAAGCCAAGAGACATCAGTTCTGTGTCATCTCTGTAATTTAGAGGTTGACAGTCTCTGGGGAATTTTTGCTTTGGGCTCGTTTTGATCACTCACTCTTGTTTTTTTGATGGAAGAACTAGAAATGCTTTTAATAGGCAGAGTTACAATTAAAACACAGATCATCACAGTGATGGTTTCTGGAGCGCATGTCGTGATCCGAATGGGTGCACAGTGTTCCTGTACTTCACCCCCATGACAACCCTGTGAGCAGAGTCTGTTAACATCCCCATTTAGGAAACGGAGGCGCAGGCCGACCGAGTGACCTGCCCAAGGACATGCTTGAAAGAGAATCAAGGCCAGAACTTGAGAGCCTGATTCCAGAGTTTATGCTTTTCATCAGTAGACAGATCCTTGAACAATGAAAGATGATTGGTCTTCAGAGCAAGGGTCAGTCCAAGTCAAGGACCAGTCATCAAGGGGAAGCGACCTCAACGTCCCCAGGGATGCTCTTGAGGACATAAGGAGAAAGAGGAGATGGTTAGAGGGTGAGGGAAAAGTCGGGGACAACAGAAAGCCACATGAGAGGAGGTTAGGCCATGGGAAGGTCATAAGAGGCAGGGCAGTGACGCCCCACAGCGTTCCCTGGGGATACCCTATAGGGCAGGGGGGGCAGTAAGCAGGGAGCAGGAAGTGTGGTCAGCTGAGGTGCGTCCCTCCCCATGGCTAAGGACAGCAGCTGCCAAGAGTCAAGGGAAGCCGGAAATCCGGACTTCTATGTAAAATCTCTTCATTTAAAAACATTGGCAACAAATTCAAATGTTTTCAAGTCTTCCATGGGTCAAGCAACATGCCTGTGACCTGGATTTGGTCTATGGGTCTCCAGGCAGGGTTTGACCCTGAGGTCTTTCCTTTGCCCGGTGTTTTCCAGAAGACAAGGCCCTTGTAAGGGACTCTGACCCCTCTGCAGAGGGGGCTTGCTCTCTCCATCTTGTGGAAGACCACTTCACTTCTGTCCACTTCTTGGCTTTCCTGTCTATAAAGTCTTCAAGGCACTTTTGGCCTCACGTGTGGTCCAGAGAATCATGAGCAAATTGGCTGGCAATGCTTCAAACCCAAGAAGCAGGGCAGGGCAGCCCACTTTTATCCTCCTGCCTCGGCCTCCCAAAGTGCTAGGATTATAGGCATGAGCCACTGTGCCCAGCCAAGACCAGGACTCTTTATTCTGGCATCCATAGGAATCACCTGGGGGAGCTTTAAAAATGCAGATGCCCAGGCCCCGACCCTAGAGATTCTGTTTCGGTGAGCAGTCAAGGTTGAGAACCACTCTCCATGGTTTGAATTCTTCCTCCCCTCCCTCCCTCTTTCCTCCTTCCCTCCTTCCTTCCTTCCTCTCACTGGATAAACAATGATTGAGTCTTTCCCTGTTCAAGAAAACCTAAACAGCTGATAGCATCAGACTCCTCCCCTGCCTCTAAGAGCTGCTGGCAAGGATGCGGATGCCTGAGGCTTCCTGGGCCTGCCCGTATCACCAGTCACCAAGGTTCCGCAAAGGCAGAAAATCCAAGACAAGGCACAGGGACTTACCTGGGCATGGGGTAGGCAGCAGTATCTGGAAAAATAGCCAGCTATGCGGGTAACACCAAAACCACTGTCTTTTTCTCTGTTCCTCCCCCAACCGGCATGCAGGTCCCGGAGTGGGAACTGCCACCCAGTCCCCCTGTCCCCGAAGTTGCCACGCCAGAGCCAGGGGTCTACCATGGGATCTGTGAGTACCCTCTCCTGGGGCAGTTTCAGGGGTTTGGGGGAGTTGTGGCCACATGGGACGGAGCTTCATGGGACAGTCAGGTGGGCTGTATGCCATACAAGTGGGAGGAGCAGGTGGGGGCCAAAACCAGCCTGCACGGGCTTGCCAGCCCTCCCAAGGCTGTGCCGCATCAGAGGAGGGCCCCACATGAGGGCCGTGTTTGCAGACGCCCTGTGTGTTAGCTGTGACCCCAGCCCAGGAGGCCAGCTGGCACTCAGCAGGGGTAGGGCAAGGGGACATAGGCAGAGGGGCCCAAGACCTCTGTGGGGCAGGGTTCACACTGTCTCTTCAGACCCAATCACCAGCAGATGTGGGAGTGGGCCAGGGCCTCTGGGTCTGCTGGCTTCTCAGCAGTCGGAAATCCAGAGCTTTACGTGGGACCTCCAGCCTCTCAAGCATGGGTGACTAATTTTATAATGTTTTAAAATATCACTTGGGCCAAATAAAACACACATTGTGTGTCTGGCCAGCGGGCTGCCAGTTTGTGACCTCTGAGTAAACCCCATCTGGTCTGTGCCGGGCCTGTTCTCTCCTCTTTTCCATTCACCCTCCCAGCCAGTTCCTCTCTGACTCCATGCACGTCCCCGTCAGCCCCCCTGACCTGGGGAGTCTTTAGGCCCGAGGTCACAGCTGACAGCAGCCTCCTCCCTGCTGTGCCCTGGTGACAGGGCTCCTGGCAGCCTCCCTTCCTGCTCTCTCTTGCCCCCTGTGCGTGTCACCTGCCTCCAGTTTGTCTTCTGAAAGTAAAAGCTGTGACACTGTTACACCCCCCCCGAGAATGAAGCTGCGACATCCCCGGGTTCTGGTGGGGGCCGGCCAAACTCCTCCCCACCATTGTCTGAGTCCACCATAGGGTTCCATGCCATCCCCGCCTACCCGGGATCTCCTGTCGCCAACTCTGAGGAGGCGTGCCCTCGTGGGCGCAGGACCAGGGCCAGGACTGAGCAGGGGAGAGGCAGGTCCTGGTGCTGCCACAGGGAGGCTGGGCCAGCTCCAGGGGGAGCCCGAAGGCTGGGAAGAGCCTTGGGTTATCCTGAGTTGAGGGACCTCTTTAGATGGCTGCCTCAGCACAGGGCTGCTTGTGGGCTGCCCTGGGCAGGGGGACGGCCTTTCCCAAGGAGACGCTTCTCAGCTGGGGGCAGCTGCGAGTGGGGCCTCAGGGGTGCGGGCGGCTGTGGCCCCCCCGCCACTGCAGGCCTAAGTCCGTGGGGCCTGCGAGTGGGGTGGGGTCTGGGCAGTGCCCCGCGTCGGTCCCCCAAGCCCTTCCTCCAGGCCCTTCTCCTCTCCTCCCAGGAAGTCTTCCCCATCATCCCCAGGGAAAATTCACCCCTCCCCCACCTGCTCCAAAAGGACAGTGATGCCTTCGAAAGAGGAGGTCCCTTATCATGCGTCCCAGGGCACGCTCTCAATTCCTTTAGTATAAGAGCAATTTGGGCTGGGCACGCGGCTCATGCTTGTAACCCCAGCACTTTGAGAGGCTGAGGCAGGAGGATCGCTGGAGCCCAGGAGTTCCAGATCAGCCTGGGCACCATGGCCAGACCTCTTCTCTACCAAAAATTTTTTAAAAACGAGCCGGATGTGGTAGCACACACCTGTAGTCCCAGCTACTTGGGAGACTGAGGCAGGAGGATCACCTGAGCCCTGGAGGTCAAGGCTGAGATGAGTCATGATCGTGCCACTGCGCTCCAGCCTGGGTGACAGTGAGACCCTCCCTCAAAGAAGAAGAAAAATGAAAGAATCGCAGCAGTGTGAAGAGCCAGCCCAGCCTTGGGCAAGAGCTGGCTGGAGGCTGGATTTCGTCTCCCAGTCGGGTGCTGTACTGAGGCTGGGCCCGCCTCGTCTCACGCCTGGTTCCGTCATCCCCATGAGATGGGGCACCCGAGGCCGCAGGGACTGGGCAGCCCAAGGGCACACAGCAAATGCTGAAGCCTAGGATGGACACGTGGGTGTTGGCCCCAAAGCCTGTGTCCTCGCCCCAGCCATAGCCGCTAGAGCCTCCCTGAGGGATACCTCCCATTGGGTCTGTAGAGTCAGCACCCCTGGAAGCGGCGAGACCTCCGGTCGTTGCTTAGGAGTTTGGCCTTCCCTCAAGTTGGTCAGGGTTCTTTCTGGTTGACAGTGGAAATCGAACTCAAGCTGAGTAAGCAAAAAAGGAATGTGTTGGCTTATGCAACTAAGAGTTAGGGGTCGCTGGTTCCCCACACAACTGAACCCAGACGCAAAACCGATGCCATCCAGACTTGGCATCGCTCTCCAGCCCTCTGCTTCGTTTTCCTCCCTCACCCTTCTTCCAGTCATGCCCATCCATGTGGAAGCTTCTGGAAGCTCTGGTTTATGTCTGCTTTCTACCCAGCAGTCCCTGACCAAAGAGAACTTCTGTTTCCGAATAGATGCAGCAGCTGTCCAGAATTAA